CCGCCCAGCCCCCTTTATCGCCAAGCCATTCGTGACGCAGCGTAGAAAGGATGATGCTCCTTTCATTTGTAAGTGGGCTGCAAAGTCCTTCGGTTTGGCTTCTCACCAAGGGTTTCTGAATCGCAGCGGCTGTTGCGATCAGTCTGGTATCTCCTCTCTTCTGTGTACGGTGGGCTGAGATGGAGATTGGCCTGTAGAGATACGCCATGGGCTATGAAGGGAAAAAGAAGTGGTACCCAGTGCATCCTCCATTCTGTGACAGTTCTGGCAGGTTTGGGCTATACATTTATTTTTTATACTCTCCCTCGGTGGGTGTATCCTATCTTGCCTTGGTCCGACTAGATCAGTTACACGTGTAGCCTGTGCAAAAACAGATTGCAGGGCTGTTACCTGTCACATACAAGATCTGCGGTCGGACATATCAAAACACCTACGCTGTGCACTGAAGGGACTTAAAAATATATCACCCTTCTTGGATTCAGACTGGAATCAAAATAAAAACTGCTAGATTAGAGTGTTTCTAGTTTCAGTAATCGGTATTTGGGAATTCATGCTTACAGATCCATGACTCGCTCTCTTGCTTGAGCTAAAGGAATTACAGAAATACTGAGATGTATTTTCTAAGATGTCCCGATTCAAAAGAAATCTGTGGAAGACAGTAATGGGAACAAAATTAGATACTGCTGTCTTACAGAGATCTAGAAAAAACACACTGAAGTCCAAAACCATCTCCAGCAATAGTTCTTGATTCATTTACTTTATGTTTATAATGGTTCTCAGACAGTCTGAATTCTAGTGAGTGCCTGCATGCTCTGTGAAAAATGCTGGAAAGTAAAGGAGGATGGAGGCCATCTGAGACAAAAGTCAGAACTTTACACCAGGACGATTTTTAGTGAACTTTACAGCACATAGATAGAAATACCTTTTTTAAAAAACCTTTAAGATTGATTAACTTCAGAAATAACAGAAACATTTTCTTTTGTCTTCAGAGAATGTCAGATCAAGAGCAGTTCTGAGCCAGAATTAAACAGATTCTCAGAGTGGGGTTATTTAATGCAAAAGGACAGCCTCTTCAACTAGGCATGCTTGGGGAAAAACTTCAAAAAGTAATACAAAGCAAGATTTGAAACCATTTTTGGAAAATAAAAGAATACTCAAACCAAAGGCTCCAAAAGAAAATAGGCGAAGCACAGACTTTTTGGCTCACTGGCATGTGTGGAGATGTCACGATAGGTGACCATAACACGGTGTGTATTATCACACATGCCACCCACCTTCACTCTGCACAAAGGCCTGCAGACTTTGCGTTCTTGCACGTCTCGTCGTGCGTCACGGTTACTGTGATAGCCAAGTCTTTGCCTAGCAGCGTGTTTGCCCATGTAACTGCTGGATCTGCATTTACAACTATGACACTTACTTGTGCGCAGGACTTATACCATTGTCCTTTTTTTGCTGTTGAATTTCTGGCTATGCCTATATAGACGATACTTCTCATCAAATTGTCATGGCTTGGAGAGAGAGCCAAGGTACTTAAGAATCTGGCTGTTCCTCTACTGCTTTCATGAGGTATTTTTAAAACCTCTTTTGAGCTTAGCATTTTCATTCTCAAGCTCTGAATAAATGCGTATTTTCAAAATTTTTTATAAGAAGAAATAATACTGCACTGTCAGGGAGAAGGGCAAGATGACCTAACCCATCATTTTCTTCTCCAACTTCTATGATTCTATGATTCATAAAGCAATTTATGTTTTTATGAGCTAAGTCCATGGGGAAAATCATTAGCAGTAACCAGATCAAGAGTAGTGCTCCTGATGAAAATACTTTTGGTTAGGAAACTTGGTAGAAATAGTATGACTATTAAATTAAATATTTCCCTTAAGCCATTTGACCTACTGTGTATGTCTGCTGAAAAATTAGGTTTTTCTTCTTTTGACTGCTTCTTTCTGTTTTTCTCATTGAATTGTTTTAACCTATATCGCTCTGAAAAATTCACTAATGGACCAGGTGCCTGAAAATGGTGCAAAATGAAAAGGCTATAGGGATTTAGCCTCAATGGGCCTGAGATGTCCAAGGTTAAGCTGGGCATTAAATGTGATTATCCTGTATCAGATATGTGGTTTTCCCAAATACTTTTTTATATTTTATAATATATATTTTCTAATACTTATATCAAAGGGCAGGATGCTGAGGAGCGGAGGGAGAGAGACTAATATTGCTGAGCAGGATTTGAGAAAGCTCTTAAACGCTGCTGGCCCAGGAAGCACCTTTTTAGGAATGGAAATTTCCTTTTGCGTCCTGGCAAAGCTAGCCAGGGCACATGGCAGGTACACCTTTGGTAAACCACAGTTAAGGGCACCCTCAGACCCCGATCTGGAGTGATCCCGTCTCACTTGTAAGGTTCAAGGAAAGCCCATGGCCTGTCGTTGTTCTGAAGGAAATCTTCAAACATCCCTTTTCCCAGTCCAAGGTCTTTTTTAGGGAACCCCCAAGGGCTACTGGTGATATCCTTTTCCCTGCCCCATCCAACCTTTGCCCACAAACCTTAGACTTCCAGAGCAGCTTCTGGGAGGAGAGTCGGCAGAGCCCGTGAGGAGCCGACGTCACCCGTCCCGTGGCAGATGTGAGGAAGACTCTGCACACGTCAGACTGGGGAGCGATGATGCCTCTGAGGGTTTCACATCACTCCCATCTTCAGCCTTTCATGCAAGGAAAGCCAAACAGTTCTCCAAAAAATCTCTTCATCTCAGTGAGCTGAAATAATACTAAATGCCTTCGTTTCTCGCTTGCTTTCTGCTGCAAGTGCCTCCATCTGTTGGAAACTGAGACTAACACGTATCAACAAACAGTTTAGAAAGCATGAAAAAATGAATCATCCTGTTGTTGGAATAGACCCACCGTATAGATTTCAGTGATGGCTTACCAGATACTTCCATTCACCTGGAAATTACGGTGCCTAAAACTTACTTAGCAGAAAACGCGTAAGGGGAAAATGTGGTGTTTTCAAGTTGATAGTCCATATAACAGAAATGCAGCCGGGACTCTCTCTTCCTTTGCTAGCACTTGCTGTGTGCTCTACAGCACACCACCCTCTCAGTATCACAACCCAACTTTGCTAATCACTTTTAAAAAAATCTTGGCTAAGGTACTTGCCCCGAAGGTCTTCCAGTGTAAATCGACCGTGTACAGACGAAAGAAAGGGATGGGCTGCAAAGGAAGCCGACGGATGCGCGCTGCCGGGTCTGTGCCTGTGTATTTGTGGCCCCGCGTCCTACTGTCTGGGTGACACTGCTGTGGGCGGACTGGTGTTTCAATCATGGGTGCACTCTGGGGACGCTTGTAGTTGGCTTGCGCAACGGTTATGTGCAAGCGTGCGGCGGCTGGGGGA